ATGAGTTGTTTTTTTTTTTTTTTTTTCAGTACTTTATTACTGAATAGATTTTTATAATAATGGATATACCACATCTGGTCCTGTTTAGATTGTCTCCAGTAGTTGGCTGTATAAATAATTCTGCTACTGAGGCCGGCTCTGGCTAGGCTGTTAGGTAGAATAAATAATCTAAGGGGGCCGGGAGACACAATGCAATACCGACAGGGAGAATGGGACTGTAAACCTGTCAACCTGGGACCAGCAGTTAGGGTAATGGCTATGTCACTGGACTCCCATGTAGTCTCCTGTGGTTCGAGTCCCAGACCTGGTGGCTTAAACTCACGCTGGGCACGTGTGCGTGTGTGCCTAAGATCCTGAGAGGAGAATGGAGGAGAAGGGATTGCAGCGTGGCCCTCCCGCCTGATTTTTCGCTTTCTGTCTCTCTGTCTCTCCCTCTCTGTCTGTCTTTCTGGTGAGCACACGCGCCCTATAGCAGAAGATCACTCCAAAAAAAAAAAAAAAAAAAAACCTGGGTTTTAACTTAACAAGTCATATTCTTCCTTGCCTGCTGTCCCTTTGGCCATTAGGTGAAATAAAGTCAGGGACTCGAGACTAGACAACTCCTACATTTGTAGTTTCAAATGTCTGGGCCTAATGAAAATTACAAACAAACTTCAGTGTCTGGAAAATGACAGCCCAAAGAATGATCCACTCTAACAAGACCATGCTTGGGGCTAAAGACAATCTTACCCACCCCCCCAAAAAAAAAACCCCAAAAAATCCAAGACTAGCCAGTGCGGGCTACAGTTAAGGACAACAGGTATCCAAACCTGATATAAGAAAACTTGTGACCATTAACCACTACTTCTTTGTAAATGCCTTATAAAAACCCATATGAGGAGGCCAGCAGGTGGCCCGGTGGTTAAGGGCGACGGACTCCAACACGGCCAACGGCTTAAGGCCCAGACCTGGCGGCTTCTTTCTCACTTTCCCTCCCTCTCCATCTCTCTCTCTCTAGTCAAATTAAAATAAATAAAGTAAAATAAAATAATTATTTTTTAAAAATGTGAGACAGGAGACAGGAGCCCTAAGAATATAGTTAGGATATAAGCCCAAAGTAAAATCACACAATGGCTAAGTTTTAAGATGGAGACACAACAGCTCAACAGCAGCACTAGAAACAGCTTGCAGCAGTGACTTAATGACTGAACTAAAACAAAGACTTTTTTTCCTGGTCCCACCATATTCCAGGAAGAAGGTAATGGTCTTTTTGGCCCAAAACTTCTAGGCAGAGAATCACCTGGCCTTCAAACTCACTCAAAATTAGGGGGAAAATAACCAGACCCATCCAACATGTGAACTCCACCATGAGGCAAAGCCATGGACAAGCCCCACGTGAAAACAAGTATGGGCAATGCCTCTCTGATCCAGTTAGAAATTTCTCACCTCAGTTCCTCTTCTGCAACCATTGAGGACCCCCGGGAGCTCTGTTTTTTCTTCCTTCTCTTTTTTTTTTAAGAGATTTTTGCTATAAGGTGTGTGCGTTCATGGGAGAGAGAGACACAGAAAGAGAGAATCTCCCTTCTTTTAATAAACTCCACATGCTTACCTACATTACATCTCTAATTCTTTTGTAAGCCATGGATAAGAACCCATTTTCTGCTGCAGTTGCTGTGCCTGATAACAACCATGCATCCCCACATCCCTGTGTCACTGTGACTATACACATACAGTCTTTGTTGAAAATATTTTCAGTTCTCTCAGGTGAGGACCTGTGAATGGAATTGCTGGGCTGTGTGATAAGTGTATCTTTCATTTAAGAAATGAAAATCTTTTATTTAAGAAATGACAAACTGTTTTCCAAAGCAAATACATCATTTTATGTGATGTGAGGGTTTCAGTTTCTCCAGATCAGTGTCAACATGTTACTGTCTTTTTAACATCTTTAAGCTTTTTTAGTGGTTATAGACTAGTAGCTCATTGTAGTTTTAATTTGCATTTTCTAATGGTGTTAAGTATATTTCTGTGTGCTTTTTAGCTACTTGTATATGAGAACACTTCGAAAGTGGAAAAATTGAATTAGAATATGAATTTATTTTATTTCAAAAGATTTTGAAATCCATGTAATATTTTTATAATATATATTTTCCATTAACCTTTTGAAGACCCCTCATATCACCTTAGGTGAAATTCATCTGTTATTCATTTTTTTTAATTGGGTTATCCATTCTATTATTGAATAGAGTTCTTATTGAATAGTCAGAGTTCTTTATATATTCTACATTCAAATCTTATAGCAGATACATGATAAATAAATATGTTCTCCCAGCCTGTGGCTTATCTTTCCATTTTCTCTTAATAGTGTCCTAAAGTACAAAGGTTTTCAATTTTTTGAAGTCCAATGATCAATTTTTTTATGGATCCTGTTTTTGATGTCATATCAAAGAAATCTGCCTAACTCAAGGCCACAGAAATTTTCTTCTCTATATTTACATTTAAGTACGATCCATTTCAATTTCATTTTTAGGTATAGTTTGAGGTAAGGGTCAAAATGTATCTATTTCCATGTGGATATTCAACTGTCTTTTAGCATTATTTTTTGAAGTCTATCCTTTTTCTCACTGAATTTGGCCAAGCCTCTGTTAAAAATCTGTTTGAACGTAATTGTAAGAGTTTATCAATTGTGCTCCTTTGATATTTATATATATATCTTTATGCCAGGGATAAAGGCTCTTAAAACAGATAAATGTCATCAGTTTGGGGATACTGAATTGGGACTTTACCAATTAAGTTGCGCCTTAGCAGTTAGCATTTCAATTTAATAATTAGAAGCAATCTGAACTCAAATTGTTTTTTTTTTTAATCTAGAATGCTTAATAGAACTCGAACCAGTTTTGAGAACATTTGAAGAGATAACTTTTCTTGAAGCTGTTATTCAGCTAAAGAAAACAAAGGTAAATTGCCAAATGAAGTACTGGAAATTAGAACTTTAAACCATTCATGTAGATTTTTAGTTTAGTTTTGATCTATACACTTTGCACAGATGCAGGCTGTAGTTTGGGGGTGGTAGAGTTTACCAGAGACTATGAATAATGCTGTCATCCCTTTGTCACCAAAGAGCTTTTCCATTTTACTCAAATGGTCACCTTTAGATTTTAGACATTCTCAGAACCCTTTTGTAGCAGATATCAATTTATCAATAAAATGTGTAATGAAAGGCAGTTGTGTACAGTGAATGCCCTTAATCACTATAGGTTTTTTCGTTTGCTTGTCTGCTGATTTTTTAATCTGTATTTCTTTTCCTTAAGTTGTTTTTTGTTTGTTTGTTTGTTTGTTTGTTTGTTTTTTAGATTTTTGCTGTAGTGTATGTGCGCTCACCAGAGACAGAGACAGACAGAAAGTGAGAAATCACTCTCCAAGGGGGATGGACTCTCCACAATCCCTTCTTCTTCATTCTCTTGAGATTTTGGGCACACACGCACTTGCGTCTGGCATGAGCTTCAAGCCACCGGGTCTAGGACCTGAACCACAATTGGCCATGTGAGAATCCAGCAAGGTAACCACTACGCTGTCTGCTGGTCCCTCCTCAAGTTCTAATATCTACAGAGGAATAGATGTCTGGGTTCTTGAACTTTCATTTTTCTTCAGTATTCTTGGATTTTTCCAAGAATATTTATTGCCAAATTAACTGTACAATTTTAATTATAATTGATATTTACTTTTTTTTTTAATTGATTGTGTTTTCTTGTTGTTTTCCCACTCACAGATTCCATGTTGCATAGACCAAAGTAGCAGTAGCAACATTGATAAGAATTACTTGGGACCATTGTCTTATTTACTTAGTCTGGCTCTTGCAGCTCAGAACAATTGAGGGCAACCTGTTACCACAGGATTTTCTTCATGTTACCAGTTGTTTAAAAAGGAACTACAGTCCTCTAAGGCAAAGTGAGCATAGTTTAGCACTTCCTGGGTTGAACGTAATGTCTGATAATAAAAACCACCAGTCAGTCAAACTCTTGGTTTGTGAACAAACTCAATCCACAGTTTACTCATCTTACATGCCATTGCTTGCCCCTTGTGGTTTGCTATATCTGTTGACAGGACTTTTGGTTTAAAAGGGAAGTAGATAAGGAAACACTACCCATAACTGAACTAAAATTTGGGTTAAGGCAAAACCCATCACCAAACTAAAATATTAGCATTTTATTATATACTAAAAACAGTGTTAATATAGTTCTTTTGGTTTCTTTTCACTGACTCCCCCACTTCTGAGTAGGTGCCAGTGTTTTCCAGAGCATTGCATTTCCTCTCCTTAGTAAATACAAACTTCTGATACTACTGCTTTGACCTTATCTTTCAAAATCTCTTTTTTTCTCTTCACAACTTTTCTTTTTTTTCTTCTTCCAAATTAAGATAGCTAGAAAGGCCTGCCGCCTTAGTTAAGAAAGGGAAGAACACCATTTCAGTTCCTTTTTTGCCCTGCCCCCAACTTTAACACAGGCTCTTATATTTCAGACTGTTAATTTGGAGGATAAATTTCGGCTTTTTAAATAAAGTGTATATTTTGAATATTTTACTACCATCTAATAATAAAATCATTTTCTTTAGTGTTTTTAAGTTGCTGTGTTGTTTTCACTATTGTAGTCATTTGTTTCTTTTTTAAAAATTCTTGTATCAGCGCTGTGAAACAATTAAAGCAAAATATCTGATTTTTACAGATGAGATAACTGAGGTCAGGGAAGTTAGTCACTTATACCCCACATAGGTAGCTAATGGCAGGGGGGGGAATAAAATGCAAATTTAAGTCAAAGTTATTTTCTTAAGGAAATTTCTGAAAAGAAAAGTCACTGTTTTAGGATGACTTTAGTTTTTTGAAAATCTTTTTATTTCTTTGAACCAGCTCCCACAATTCATGTTAAACATTTCTATATCTTGAATAGTAAAAGCTGAACAACAACAAAAAAGTTTTTCTTTAATATTCCATTACATTTCTTTTTAGTAACTAATTGACTAATTACCCTAATTGATCCATTGTGAAAAATCATGTTACTAATTGAATGGCTTTATCAAAAATGCTTTGGTAAATTTTATAAGCACAGGGAAACGTTACATAGTAAGAGACATAGGGGACCAGTAAATGGCATTGCAGTTCCATCACTGGACTCCCACGTTTCAAGTCCAAGACCCAGTGACTTCAAACACATCCCGGGCATATGTGCATGCATTCCCATGGTATCCTAGGAGGAGAATGGAGGAGAAGGGATTATGGTGTGGCCATTTCCTTGGGGGAGAGGTAATTTCTTACTTTCTGTCTCGCTCTCTCTCCAGTGAGTGCATGCACCCTATAGCAAAAATCTCTCAAAAAAAAAAAAAAATAGAGATGTTGGGACTTGTTTGGTTGAATACTTTTTTTGAGTGGGTGAGTGGGGAAGGCTGTGGATTAGAAATCAATACAACAATAAACACACAGAGACACACAAGTTTAGAACAGGAAGGATTAGGTGGACCCAACTTTTTTGATGGAGAAGTTATGACTAGGAACTGGCTTCACGTTTATTTTTTTAAAGGGCAGAAAATGGGGGAAGAGGAAATGGAATGTAAAGCCAATTGCTTTAGGATGCAAATCACGTGAAGATGTGAAAATCACTGGCGCCATGTAATTTTTTTTTTGTTTTTACGGAGCGAAATCTGATAAACAGATGTGGCTTACTTTAGCCTCATACTGCCATTGCAGTATCGGGTATTGAGTATCGGGTATCGACAACAACAGGAAGATAACTGATAACAATAGGCAGATAGTGTTTTCATATGTAAATATTTTCATAGCACTATTAAAGAAACTCATGGAAGCACTTTTAAATGTGTTTTTGTATGTGTCTAAAAGTTACTTGTTTTTTTCAGATTAGCCATTTTCACAAAGGTACATAGCCTAAAACTAATTTAAAGGTTCATATAAAAATATACTTCTAAGCCCAGCCTAAGTGGCACAGTACATACATACTGAACGACAGTGCTAGAAGCCACACGGCTGACCATACAGGTTTGGAGCCTTTGGTTGGCCTAAAACCATGTGTCATGGAGTATTAGGCACCCAAGATCCTGAAAAGCTATAAGGGCTGGGCAAAAGGGGATCATGGCCTGATGAAACACTATCAAGGGTGCTTCCCTCTTTCTCTTTCTTTCTGTCTCACACACTTATACACACATGCATTCTCTATAATTAAAAAATGTTTTTAAATATATATTGGAAAGTAATATTGTAGGTATGTTAGATACAGAGATGAGTAGGAGTTTTTTCCTCCTCAAGTTTCTTACCCTTGTATTGGAGCAGGCAGTATAAGTGTGAATAATAGAGCACTGGGCACGATACCCACCTTTTCTAAAATTCTTAAGAGTGGGTGGTGGGGCCAGAAGATGGCATGGTAGTTAAGGTCACTGGACTCCCATATGTCCAGCCACAGTTCAAGTCCCAGACCTGTCAGCTTGCTTTCTCACTTTCTCTCTGTCTCTCTCTCGTCAAATTAAAATGAATAAATAAAGTTAAAATAAAATAATTCTTTGGATCAGCAGATGGTGAATGGCTATATTGCTGGACTCCCATGTAGTCGACTGTGGTTCGAGTCCCGGACCCGGTAACTTAAACTCATACCAGGTGCATGTGCATGCATGCCCAAGATCCCAAGAGGAGAATGGAGGAGCCGGGATTGTGACATGGCCATCCCCCCTGGGGGAATGATTTCCTGCTTTCTGTCTGTCTGTCTGTCCCTGTCTTTCTGGCGAGCACATGCACCCTATAGCAAAAACTTCTCCAAAAAAAAATAATAATAATTCTTTAAAAAAAAAAAATGAGTGAATGACTTTATTTTGGTCTGGGGAAGAATAGCAATGCACAGGTATGTTTTAAAATTACTTAGTAATGACGGCAACTAATCTAAGCCCAGCTTACTGAGATAGGAGTAAATCACTTAGCAATTTTAACACAGAAATATAGTATTTAGAAACATCATCTGCTTAGCAGCTACATTCATTAAATGCCTACAAGTAATCTTGGGGACTCTTTGTGAATATTATTTCTAATTTTCTTATGGTAATCTGGCAACATATGTCTTCAATTGACAGTAAATAACAGATTAAGTCTTCATACCCATGTTCAAACAGGTATCCTGAGATTCCATACCAGATGGCCTCCTGGCTCCACCACTCCATTAAGACATCCTACTTCCTTTATTTAGCCCTAGCCTCAGCTTATTATCTATAAAATGAAAATATTAATTGTATTTATAAGCACAGTGCCTGAAATACAGTAAATATTTAATAATTACAGATAGATACATGCAAACACACATCAAAATTTATTAAGTACCTGCTTTGTAGTAGACACTTTATATTCATTGTCTCAATCTCTAAAATAATCCTGCATAAAGGTATTAGTGCATTTATGAAGTCCTGAGATATATAAATAACTTGTGAAAGCACCAATTATGTGGCAGGATTCAAAGTCTGTCTCTAAAATTATTTCCCCTATCCTACAGTCTTCCTTTTTATATTATATTCTCAGCTTATTCACATTTTCTTTCTATTGAATTTATATAAACATATAAAATATGTCAAATAGATTATATTTTACTTCTGTAATTTCCTAATTACCTCCAACTAAATTACATGTTTCTATTCATTCCAGTTGCAGAGTTTTTCAAGTACTATTCTCTTATGTGACCAAAAGAAACTGGCATTATCTCTGAATGTAGCTGCAAATCATGGTCCACAGGAGGTAAAAGAAAAATTCTGTTAAACTCAAAATGTGAAAAAAATACGAATATTTAGTTTAATTCCTTTTATAGATGGGACACCACAGCTCCACGAGTTTTTAGAATTTGTTATCTAACTCATGGCAATCTCCAGCTTAAAACCAGCTGTTCTTATTCTCAGTTTATTATTTTACTTCTGTAATTTCCTAATTACCTCCAACTAAATTACATGTTTCTATTCATTCCAGTTGCAGAGTTTTTCAAGTACTATTCTCTTATGTGACCAAAAGAAACTGGCATTATCTCTGAATGTAGCTGCAAATCATGGTCCACAGGAGGTAAAAGAAAAATTCTGTTAAACTCAAAATGTGAAAAAAAATACGAATATTTAGTTTAATTCCTTTTATAGATGGGACACCACAGCTCCACGAGTTTTTAGAATTTGTTATCTAACTCATGGCAATCTCCAGCTTAAAACCAGCTGTTCTTATTCTCAGTTTATTGTTCATCCCATCATGTCATAATTCTTGCTTCTTTATTTGGCCTTGAATTCTGTCCCTCTCATTGTTTTACATAATATATGATGGTTTAGATAATATAAGCACATCACTGATTTTGATTCTATCACTGTATTTACACCACCTCATCTTACCACTTAAACAATTGTTTAGAAGAGGGAAAAGCCACTTTTGTTACTATTCAAGATGAAATATTTCTTTAGTAACATACATTCAGATTTATTTTATATTGATAATTTAAGAATATAGTTCACTTTACAAATTCTGAGAAGTACTGATACCTCAAAAAGTTTTCATTGAATTTTAGTTGAATTTTAAAGTACAAAGCATAGTTTTAAAATAAGTTGTATATACAAGTAGTCTTCAAAAAGTTCATGGAAAATGCATATTATGAAAAAACTATACATGAGTTTCAAAATCTTTTGCACCAAAATTTTTACTTTAACTTAACTTTTCTACAGGTTTTTTGAAGCACTCCTGTATACTATTTTATTTGATTCTTGAGCCTATTTGTGCACATTTCTTACATAATTAATATAGCTATTACAGAAAAAAGTACCTTAAAGCCAGAAAGTTTAAATGCTTCAGTGAAGGTTAGCATAGCAAGCATTTCCACAATGGAGCAAGGAGTAGAGTCATAGTTGCCCACACCTCTATGTTGAAGGAACCTGAGCAATTGAGTACAGGCATTTACTCTTAATCTATAGGTAAACAGAATAGCAAATTTCAGATTTCTCCCATCTATTATTCTAGCCACTGAACAAATCTCTTAGAGCATATCTATAGAATATATTGAGAAAATGATTATTTCTAATTTCCAATTATTGCCTTATCTCCCCAATTTAAGTCGGTTTAAAAAAAGCTAACTATCTCTATTGGTTATTTTATATATAGATTGTTTCTTTAATTTTCTAAGTTATAGTTTATAGTAATTTTAAGTCTTTGTTTATAGTAAGGCAAGAGCTAGAATGGGTTAGAAATTAAACCTGTATAACTTTAAAAAAAAATGGGAACCAGCAGTTAGCGTAATGGCTATGTCGCTGGACTCCCACGTAATCGACCGCGGTTCGTGTCCCAGACCCGGTGGCTTAAAACTCACGCCGGGCGCGTGTGCGTGCGTGCCCAAGATCCCGAGAGGAGAATGGAGGAGAAGGGATTGCGCCGTGACCATCCCCCCTGGGGGGTGATTTCTCGCTTTCTGTCTCTATGTCTCTCTCTGTCTGGCGAGCGCACGCGCCCTACAGTGAAAATCTCTCAAAAAAAAAAAAATTTTTTTTGACCTTTACTATTAAAGTTTCCCTAAACCTATTTATCTTCCATTTACTTTAGGAATCATGTGGATCCTCTCAGCTCCATAAAAGCAGTGGCTCTGCTGGAACCTCAAGGTCCCTGTCAGCTCCTCAAGATGACTTTTTATCTAGTATGTTAATTTTCCAATTAGTATTTACTGGGAAAATTTCCTTTTTTTTTTTTTTCAAGATTATATTCTTGGCAAACAGTGATGGTTTATATGAAACATGTCATTGTGAAGAAATTTTTTCTGGCAAAGGCTGGAGCTATAGATATAAAAAGGGGCATTCCAGGAAAAAGAAACAACACAGATGCACAGAAGCAAGAAAGTAGAGAGAACATTGAGCAATTTGGCATAACTGGTAAAGAGGGTGAATGAAATAATGTCAAGGATTGGTAGGATAGAGTCATATCATCATGAATTCTATCATTCACCTCAACTATTTGAGGTTTTTTCCCTCGATAAGGAGAAGCTATTGAGAATTTTTGAGCAAGGTGGACATAAATATTTTTGCTTCAGGAAGATTCATCCTGGTTGGAATATGTAGGATATAATGAAAGGAAAAGAAGACTTGAGATGAGGAGACCAGTTAGGAGACTCTTATTACTATAGTGCTGCTGAGAGATTATGAGAACTAATCTAAAGTAAAAGAGGGAAGGATGGGTCTATATTCATCAGAGATTTTGGTCTTTAGTTTTCCTTCCTTGTCATCTCCTTGTCTGTTTTAAGGATAAGGGTAATTGAGGCTTCATAGAATGAATTTGGGAGGATTCCATCCTTTTGGATCTTTAAAAATAAATTGAGTAGGGTGGGGGTTAACTCTTCTTAAAAGTTTTGTAGGATTCAGAGGTGAAGCCATCAGGACCAGGGCTTTTCTTTATTGGGAGCGTATTTATTACTTATTCAGTCCCATTGCTTGTTATAGGCCTATTCAGGCTTTTTATGTCCTCCTGACTCAATCTTGGTAGATTATGTATGTGCAGGAATCTGTTCATCTCATCCAGGTTTCCTTGTTTGTTGATACAGTATCCTCCAGTGATGTATTGTATTTCTGTTATGTCTTTTGTTATATTGTCTACTTCATTGTGAATTTGATTTATCTGGTTCCTTTCTCTCTTCTTAATTAGCAAGTGCTGTGTCGATTTTGTTTTTCTCAGAGAACCAGCTTTTACTTTCATTTATTTTCTGTATAGTTCATTAATTTTCTATTTCATTTATTTCTGCTCAAATCTTCATTATTTCTTTTTTCTTGGAGCTTTTTGGATTTTTTTGTTGTTGCTTTTACAATCCTCTGAGGCATGATGTTAGGTTGTCCATTTTCCAACTTTCCATCTTTTTCTTATGTGCACTAATTGCTATGAGCTTCCCTATTATGACTGCTTTTATGTTGCCCAGAGGTTATGAAAACTCATGTACTCATTATCATTGGTTTCCATGAATCTTTTTATTTCAGTCTTACTTTCTTCAGTAGTTGTGAAGTCATTCAGGATTAGGTGATTTAGTTTCCATGTATTTGTGTATTTTCAAGAGCTTTTCCTGAAAATCATATCAAGTTTAATTCCTTCATTGTCAGAGAAGATGCTGGATATAGCTTCTATGCCTTTGAATCTGTAAAGGCTTGTTTTGTGCCCTGCCATTTGGTCAATCTTGGTAAAGGTTCCATATGGGAGTGAGAAAAAAGTATATTTTGAGGTGGAAGGTTCTATAGATGTCTGTTAAGTCCATTTGATTCATGGCATCATTTAGATCCTGTATCTCTTTGCTTACTTTTTGTTTAGATGATTGGTTCAAAGGAGATGGTGTCGCGTTGAGATCTCCAACAATTAGTATGTTATAGTTTATCTCTCTTTTTTAGTTTTAGCAGTCTTTCCTTCAGATACTTGGTACTCCTGAGTTGGGCACATAGATATTTATAAGTATTATATCTTCTTGTTGAATTAATCCTTTTACTACTATATAATATCCTTCTTCATCTCTTCTTATAGTTTTTGTCTTAAAACCTGTTTTGTCTGAAATCATTATTGCAACTCCAGCTCTTTTTTTATTTCTGTTTGCATAGAATACATTTTTCTAGACCTTCACTTTTAGTCTATGTATGTCTTTATCCATGAGGTGCATTTCTTGTAGGTAACAGATAGAGGGTTTCTGTTTTTTATCCATTCAGTCAATCTGTGTCTTTTTTTGTTGTTGTTGTTGAATTTCTATTTCCAACTCTGTATATTAAAAACATGATTGTAATGGTATAAAGACATAGAATCATACTGTAAAAAAATCAGTCTCAAAAATAGAGATTTCAGACCCTTTCCACGTAATTTCAGAACTCAGAAGATTTTCTTCAACTTAGACATGATGGCCACTGAGAAAATAATAGAGATGCTTTTCAATGTGATACAATTGTATAAAACTCCAGAATGTGAGTATTAGGTGATCAATGTATTGAAATCAACAGGATTTAGAAAATACATTAAATGTGAAATAAGCATAAATAAAAAGATAATTTACAAAGAAATATAACTGAGTTCTAATCATCACCAGAGTCTGAATCATATTTCTTTCCTCAAATAGTTTTCTTTTCCAGCTTTGTAAAGTTTGTTCCAAATTACTTTTGGCTCTGAAATGGTGGCTCCATTTAATTTCCACTGTAATTAAGAATGTCAGAACAAACGAGCCTCCACTCTAAACTTTTTGTGGTAAAGTCATCTGTATTTCCAAGGTCAGTAAATCCAACCACATAATCTTGTGTTTTCCCATCTTCTACCAGTGCTAGGGTAGGAATGAATTTGATCTGCAGTCTCTCACAAACGAAGGGTACCTTTTCCACATTCAACTTCAAAAATTTGGTCTCAAGATGTTTCTTGGACAATATCGCCAAATGTCTGTCTAATATTTTACACCTGAATGTGGAATCCCTATAGAAATGACAAACAACATTTTTACTCTCCTTGACTTCTTGAAAAAAGTCTCTCTCACTAGAGATCTCTCTGTATTCACCATGTCCTTTAGAAAGCCATTCTTGTTGCTGTTGCTGAGCTTTCCTTAGTGCCTCGAGTCTCTCTTCTTTGAGGTGTTCCAATTCGTCCTCATCCATCTGATCTAGTTTCTGTATTTCAGCATCCAAATGTCCTTCTACTAGTTTGGTAGACTGAAGCAACTGATTCTCCAGGACTTTTGAAAACATGTCAACATATGTATCAGCTTCCATCTTCTAAGTGAGATAGATCAGTCTCAGTGCTGTGCTCTCACTGATGCCTAAGGAATAGAACAGCAGCTCCAAAAGAGTGGTGCACTCCGGTTTCAGCCTCTCAGCAGCTGCTGGCGGATGTGAAACAACTCCAATCTGTGTCTCTTGATTGGAGAATTTAATCCATTAACATTCAATATTATTGTTAGTTCTGGAATTGTCCCTACCTTTGAGTTGGCCATTGTCTTCGTTGTCTTTTATTCTCTTTTTGTCTGTCCATACTTTTTATAGTTTTCTTGGTACAGCACTCTCTTCAGAGTTTCTTGAAGAACTGGGCTGGTGTTGCAAATTCACTCAGGTTTTGTATTCCAGGGTTACAAGGGTGGTTCAACATATGCAAATCATAAATGTGATATACCCTATTATAGAAAGGAAGATTAAAAACATATGATCATATCAATTGATGCAGAAAAAGTATTTGATAAAAAACAACATCCTTTCATGATCAAGACTCACAGCAAAATCAGCATAGAAGGGTCATTCCTCGACACAATTAAAGCTATCTATGAAAAACCCATAGCTAACATCATTCTGAATGGGGAAAACCTGAAAGCTTTTCCACTGGTACAAGACAAGGATGTCCACTTTCTCCGCTCATTTTCAATATAGCACCAGAAGTCCACACCAACGCAGTCAGAAAATAGAAAAAAATAAAAGACATTCAAATAGGAAAAGAAGAGGTGAAATGATCTCTTTGCAGGTAACATGATTGTATACCAGTGTTATCCACGAAAAAATTTCTAGAAGTAATAAAAGAATACGGTAAAGTTGCAGGATAGAAAAAACATACAAAAATCTATAGCATCTCTATATACTAACGGCAAGCAGCCTGAGATAGAATTGAAGAAAGTAATCCTATTTACCATAGCCACAAAACGTATGCGATACCTAGTAATAAATCTAACCAAAGAAGTCAAAGACTTCCACAAGAAAAACTCTGAGAAGCTATGAAAAAAAAAAAAAATTGAAAATGACACAAAAAAGTGGAAGGACATCCCACTTCCTGGATTGGAAGAATTAATATAATCAAAAGGACACTTCTACACAAGTTAATATATATATTTAATGCAATCCCAATCAAAATACCAGAGACATTCTTCACAGATCTAGAAAAGACAATAATAGAATTTGACTGGAATCATAAAAAACCTCTTATTGCCAAAGCAATCCAGCACAAGAAGAATGGAGTGGGCAGCATCTCACTCACTGACCCCAAAATATACTATAAAGCTATAATAATCAAAACAACATAATATTGGCACAAAAATAGACATGTGGATCAATGGAAAAAATGGAGACCCTTGAAATAAACCCCAAAACATACAGCCAACTGATTTTTGACAAAGAGTAACAGTCAATCCACTGGGAAAAGAAAAACCTTGTTAGCAAATGGTGCTAGAAAAACTGAGTATCCACCTGCAGAAAGATGAATCTGAGCCCCTACCTCTCAACAATGACAAAAAATCAACTCAAAGTGGATAAAAAATCTAAACCTAAGACCCTAAGGTATAAACTACTGCTGGAAAACACTGGGTAAACTCTGGGAGGCACTGGAGTAGGCAAAGACTTCTTAAATATTAAGACCCCCAAAGCACAGTCAGTAATCCCAAAATAGACGAGTGGGATTACATCAGATTAAGAAGTTTCTGCATGGCCAAAGACACAGTAATTAGTGTGAACAGACAGCCCTTGGAATGGGAGAATATTTTTGTAAACTATGCTTCAGATAAGGGACTGATGACCAGAATACATAGGGAACTCAAGTGGCTTAGTTGGAAAAAAAAAAAAAAGATCAACCCAATTAAAAGATGGGAAAATGGGCTGAATAAACAACTAAGGGAGACATACTAACAGCCAAAACGCATATGAAAAATGCTCAACATCCCTCATCATAAAGGAGATGCAGATCAAAACCCCAGTCAGAATGTCTAAGATTAAAAAAAAAAGTAAGTGCTAGCCCAGATGGAGTGAAAGGGGAACTCTCTTGGAACTCTCTTTGACTAGTGGTGGGATTGTAAATTGGTCCAGCCACTGTGGAGAACAATATGGAGATCCCTCAAAGACCTAAAAATAGAACTCCCATATTATTCAGCAATGCACTCCTGGATATCTACCCAAAGGACAAAAGAATGCTTCATTGGAAAAGTGCTTGCACATCGATGTTTATTGCGGCATTCACAATTGCTAAGACTTAAGACACAGAACCAACCAAAATGCCCAGGAACAGATAATGGATTGAAAAAGTGTGACACATATACTCTATGGAAAACTGTTCAGCCATTAAAAAAAAAAAAAAAAAAAAAGACTCTGTATTTAGATGAATATGGGAGATTTACTGCTGAGTGAAGCAAGCCAGGCTATGAAGGAGAGACATTATATGTCTCCACTTAATATATACTGACAATCTGCACTCTGTGGCTGAAACTGAAAGACTAGAGGATATAGAAACATAGAAAATGGTTATAGATACCAGATACATTGTGGCTAGAAGTGAGAGAAGGAGAGTCTGAAGAAAGAGATTAAGGAGAAAAGTAGAGAGGCCAGACATCTATGGGACACAGAAATGGGTTATTATCTATTGATGATAAAATGTGTAGTATCCTCAACTGGACTGGTGAGAAATGCATTCATGTTGGAACATTCACCTTATAAGCTAAGTGATGTATATGATTGAATGTATAAAAGAAATTAAAATAAATTTTTAAAAAAGATGTAGAGATAGTATAAGACACATGATAATAAGTTTAAATTTTCACTTGAAGGAGGGAAGAGGGGAAAAAAAGAGCTAAATAAGTTGTTAAGCCTGGTCACTAGAGGAATAAGGGTGCTATTTGCAAATATGAGAGTTGAAACAGGTTTTAGAGTTGAGATAAATAACAGTTTTTATTTTCCATTTTATTTGTTGACTTTTCATTATATTAAACCCTTGAGGAGTACAGCATTGCACAGAATCTGTTTCCAATGGCCTTAGCAGGAAGGTTGCTTCAAATTTGGCTCAAACCATGTTACTGTTTCCATGGGTATGAGTAATCTTTCCCCAGATTACTCTAGTTTTATTTGATTTGCCATCAGGGGCCACTGTGTTGGTTTTTGCTTTGTTCATATAAGCATACCTCTTGCCTAAATAGAATTACTTCTCATCTTGGGCATAAACACCTTTAATTTCAAGAAAAGCTGTGTGTTCCTTTTGGTTGCAGAGATCCTGCTTATAGCCAGCAAAAATGGCCTTGGACCTCAGCCTTCCAGACATAGTTAGTTGCCTTTTAGAAGTCCTGTTCCCAGCAGGCCTCCATAGGCTCCAAGATGGCAGAAAGAGTGATATACTCGTTTTTTTGTTTTTTTAATTTAGGATGCTAGTAGCAGTATATATGGGGGTGGTACAAGAATATTTAGTGACGACAGACATTTAATTACATGGATTGAGAAAAGAGGTGAGGTTGAATAGTATTACCAGAGGAGAAAGTAGAAGGCACACATCATGGATAGATTTAAAAGACACATTTAAAGTACAGAAGGAAGGCCCAGCCCTGTAGCACAGTGGTTACATGCTATATGTTGGAAACTGGACCCATATTTCTGGCTGTAATTTAAATTCCAGCCCCAGTGGTTTGAAAAACACTCCAGACACATGTGCATGCTCCAAATCCTGGAGGGATGGAAAAAAGGAAAAGGAGATTCTGGTATGACCATGTCCCATTGAGGGAGTGCTTTATCTCTCCCTCTCTCTCTCTCTCTCTCTCTCTCTCTCTGGAGAGTGCTAAAGTAAATAAAGTGCATAAGTTCATAATGAAACTGCACAGAGGCAGCCTTCAGTAGGATGTCACTGTTCCAGTTGTTAGAAGATGACAGTAGCAATGTGAGAAAGGAGCTATTTCCTATGCCAGAGGAATTATAGCACAATCTTAACTTTGGTCTTGTCATTATCTTTATTTGTTTTATGTTTTGCTTCTTGTACATAGTAGTGAATAATGATAAAATGAGTTAGGTTTATTTGGTTAAACATTGCTGAAGATAAAAGCTTCTCTCTTTAATACTATGTAAAAATTCTTAACAAAAAGGTTTTTTTTTAAAAAAAAAAAAAAAAAAAAGACTTTGACTTTTGATAGAAAGTAGATGAATATGGGAGATTTACTGCTGAGTGAAGCAAGCCAGGCTATGAAGGAGAGACATTATATGTCTCCACTTAATATATACTGACAATCTGCACTCTGTGGCTGAAACTGAAAGACTAGAGGATATAGAAACATAGAAAATGGTTATAGATACCAGATACATTGTGGCTAGAAGGGAGAGAAGGAGAGTCTGAAGAAAGAGATTAAGGAGAAAAGTAGAGAGGCCAGACATCTATGGGACACAGAAATGGGTTATTATCTATTGATGATAAAATGTGTAGTATCCTCAACTGGACTGGTGAGAAATGCATTCATGTTGGAACATTCACCTTATAAGCTAAGTGATGTATATGATTGAATGTATAAAAGAAATTAAAATAAATTTTTAAAAAAGATGTAGAGATAGTATAAGACACATGATAATAAGTTTAAATTTTCACTTGAAGGAGGGAAGAGGGGAAAAAAAGAGCTAAATAAGTTGTTAAGCCTGGTCACTAGAGGAATAAGGGTGCTATTTGCAAATATGAGAGTTGAAACAGGTTTTAGAGTTGAGATAAATAACAGTTTTTATTTTCCATTTTATTTGTTGACTTTTCATTATATTAAACCCTTGAGGAGTACAGCATTGCACAGAATCTGTTTCCAATGGCCTTAGCAGGAAGGTTGCTTCAAATTTGGCTCAAACCATGTTACTGTTTCCATGGGTATGAGTAATCTTTCCCCAGATTACTCTAGTTTTATTTGATTTGCCATCAGGGGCCACTGTGTTGGTTTTTGCTTTGTTCATATAAGCATACCTCTTGCCTAAATAGAATTACTTCTCATCTTGGGCATAAACACCTTTAATTTCAAGAAAAGCTGTGTGTTCCTTTTGGTTGCAGAGATCCTGCTTATAGCCAGCAAAAATGGCCTTGGACCTCAGCCTTCCAGACATAGTTAGTTGCCTTTTAGAAGTCCTGTTCCCAGCAGGCCTCCATAGGCTCCAAGATGGCAGAAAGAGTGATATACTCGTTTTTTTGTTTTTTTAATTTAGGATGCTAGTAGCAGTATATATGGGGGTGGTACAAGAATATTTAGTGACGACAGACATTTAATTACATGGATTGAGAAAAGAGGTGAGGTTGAATAGTATTACCAGAGGAGAAAGTAGAAGGCACACATCATGGATAGATTTAAAAGACACATTTAAAGTACAGAAGGAAGGCCCAGCCCTGTAGCACAGTGGTTACATGCTATATGTTGGAAACTGGACCCATATTTCTGGCTGTAATTTAAATTCCAGCCCCAGTGGTTTGAAAAACACTCCAGACACATGTGCATGCTCCAAATCCTGGAGGGATGGAAAAAAGGAAAAGGAGATTCTGGTATGACCATGTCCCATTGAGGGAGTGCTTTATCTCTCTCTCTCTCTCTCTCTCTCTGAAGAGTGCTAAAGTAAATAAAGTGCATAAGAAGACATACAAAAAATATAGGACCTCGTGAAGAATTAGAATTCCATGATTCAGCATATACATGAGACAGACAAGCACAGACAAAAGTATAGTAAAAAGGATCAGTGGAAACCTTTTTTGGTCTAAAAGTAATTACTTGTAGAATTAGATTTCTGAACCAGCTTTGATAGTAGTGAAAAATTAGAAAACTGGATCCTACCTTCTATTAAAAAAGATGATATTTTATAAAGTTAACAGGGATATCTAAAGAATATTCTATTCCTAATGCAGATGTTATGTTTTTTAGAAAAAACTCAAGACCATTCTGAGAAGCTGCAGCACTGCCCAGTAAATCACACTTGGGATAGTAACATTTCCACGTCTCAGAGGGCAACGTTCTGTGATCATGGAAACGTCCCATGCTCTTTGGCAATCATAAACCCACTCTCTGCTGAGGGAAATTCAGGTCAGTATTTACTGTGAGACACCTTATAAATGATGCCATTTACCTTACACATACATGTCCAGGAGATTTGCCATACAGTAAAATCTATGAGTCTTTTAATTCTTCAGTTTGATAAACCATACCTTTGTTACCCTAAAAAGTAAACTGAGGCAAAACATATATAGCAAAAAGGATTTTATTTGGGCATAAATTTGAGGACTGTCCTAGGGTACAGCCCAGATGAAATATATTTCAGGTTGCCTTGAAACATGCTTGCTGAAATTGTTCAGTATTCATACAAGTTTTAAAGTCAAATACCACAAACTGGGGGTGGGCAGCCAAAGGGGACATATTATACCAGTTGGTTTAGACAATTATTTTTGGCTACCCGGATCGAGGTTGGACAGGCCACCTCTGGATAGATGTCCTTGTACAAGAAGTCAGGTTGCGTGGTCATTGTGCAAAGTCAAGGTCCTGGCAGAGTTCTCTAAATAATAGGTCTTTTAAAAGACATGCTGGTGTGAAAAACAACATGGCCTTCCTTGTTTGATTTAGATCAAGGTTGACATAAATAACTCCATTTGGATTTTGAAAAACTTTCACACCTTCTTAAGTAGCAAAGTGCTTCTAATCCCGGAAGCAATGCATGCCACCACATAGTAATGGGCCCAAACAGTACTCCATGAACATCTAAGGAGGCAGTACTAAGAGAAAGTATTACTTGATATGTTTCTAAAATTTTTTTATTAAATAAATAGGTAGATATCCTTTATATTTGAAACAAAACAAAACAAAATGGCTGAAAAATAAGAGATTTTATCCCATGATTTGACTACAGCAGATAAAAAGGCAGCACTTTTTTAGAACGTAAAGGAGCAGATAGCCCTAATCTCTGTTTCCTGATAAATAGCATCTTCCAAAATACTGGTGTCCCGTATTGACACAGTTGTAGGAAAATTGAGTTTTATGCCTTACTTTTTTTTTTTTTTTTGGAAGAGGTTTTTGCTATAGAGAGCATGCGCTCGCCCGACAGACAGAAAGAGACAGAAAGCGAGAAACACCCCCTGGGGGGATGGCCATGCCATAATCCCTTCTCCTCCATTCTCCTCTCAGGATCTTGGGCATGCACGCACATGCACCCAGCGTGAATTTTAAGCCACCGGGTCGGGACGCAAACCGCTGTCAACTACATGGGAGTCCAGCGACATAGCCATTACGCTAACTGCTGGTCCCCTTACCTTTTTTTTTTTGTTGCTGTTATTTGTCTTTACCTTTTCAATAGTTCATTCTTTGCTTTTCTGCAGAGCGTCTGCAGCCAGGTATAGCTCAACAGTGGATCCAGAGCAAAAGAGAAGACATTGTGAATCAAATGACTGAAGCGTGCCTTAACCAATCACTAGATGCCCTTCTGTCCAGAGACTTGATCATGAAGGAGGACTATGAACTTATTAGTACCAAACCTACAAGGACCTCAAAAGTCAGACAATTGTTGGACACTACTGACATCCAAGGAGAAGACTTTGCCAAAGTTATAGTACAAAAGCTGAAAGATAACAAACAAATGGGTCTTCAGCCTTACCCAGAAATACTTGTGGCTTCTATAATGCCATCTTTAAATTTACATCACAATAAAAGTTTCTAAGGGGGTCTTTTTTAAGAAGAAAAGTTAGTATAAAAGGATATTTATATCATGTCTGGTTGCCTTAATACTGTTTGTATAAAACACATGAGTATTAGAAGCTTTACTCAAGATGCTTCTTTAGGTAAATATTAGTCTCTTTCCTTGATGTTGCAGTATTTTTTTAAGTGAATATAAAAAGTTTGCATTTTGCTACATAGTTTAATTTTGTTACGTCTCTCTTATTAAATGAAATTATTCTATACTGGGTAATAACTATATTATTTTTGTCCATAACAGTATTATAATATCCTCTGTTTCTAATGGAGGCCAACTTAAGTAGTACCATCACTTTCTTTTGCAAATTATCTGTTTCTTACCTAAGATCCAGTTTGACATTTTGATGTATGTACTCTTTATTCACAAATCAGAGGTGATAGCATTCCTTAATCCCAGGTTGAGATCCTCTCCAAGGGTTATTCATTTTAAACTGTCATATAGATTATATTTTTAAATTATATTTATGAAGTCTTCTTTAAAAAAGTTGTTTTGATATAAATTATGTGAAGAAAAAAGTTAAAAAAAAAAAACTCTTAATACTTGGTTATCTGCCTTCTCACTTTTTATCTTAAAGAGAGGGATTTTTTTTAGCTATAGAGTGCATGCACTCACCAGAGAGACAGAGAGAGACAGAAAGTGAGAAATCACCCCCCAACCCCAGGGGTATGGCCACTCGGCAATCCCTTCTGCTCCATTCTCCTCTTGGGACTTTGGGCACACATGCACATGTGCCATCATGAGTTTAAGTTGCCAGGTCTGGGACTCAAACCACAGTCGATTCTGTGGAAGTCCAGTGACGTAACCATTACTCCCATCTGCTGGTCCCTCTGACCCCATTTTTAATCTCAGTCCTCTTCACCGGCATCAACAGCCAAGCTAACCGAGTTAAGTCTGATATGCATCCCTCTTTCTGTTCATATTTAAAATATATGCTAGGCCAGCAGGTGGCATGGTGGTTAAGACAACAAACTCTGACATGGCTGACCACAGTTCAAGTCCGGGACTGGCTGCTTGAAAATTACACCAGGCATATGTGTATATGTGCCCAAGATCCTGAGAGGAAAATGGAGGAGAAGGGGCTGTGGTGTGGCCATCCCCCTGAGGAGTGATTTCTCACTTTCTCTCTCCAATGGGCACACTTGCCCTATTAGTAAAAACCTTAAAAAAAAGAATGTTGGGCCTCCCTGTAGCCTAATGGTTAAGCAAGCTGGATCCCACATTGCTGTTTGTGGTTAAAATCCCAGTTTCAGTGGCTTAGAAAACATGCCAGGTCATGTGTGCCCAAAATCCCAGTGGTTTAGAGAAGTGAATGTGAAAGGGTTTCAGTATGACCATTCCTCATTGGTGAGTGCTTTTCCCTCTCCTTGTCTCTCTTTCTTTCTTTCTTAGGAAAGTGCCATTAAAACAAACAAATAAACAAAAGTATATGCTCATTTGGGAGAGGGTATTTTTTTTTCTAATAATTATTTACTTTATTTATTTAGTAATAGTAGTAGTATTTTCTAATTTGCTATAGTCACCAGAAAGAAAGAGAGGGAAAGTGAGAAAGCAAACCCCCAGGTCCTGGACTTAAACCATGGTTGGCCATGTGGGAGCTCAGCGCCACCACCACTACACCACCTGCTGGCCTCGAAGGTAGTTTCTTAAGATTATTATTGTCAGTATAATATATCATACCACAACCTGCTTTTTTGCACTTAACAGTGGAGAGTGTATAGCCTTCCAGATCAAATACAAATCTAATTTATTCCTTAACTGCTGCATAATACTCAGACTGCCTTCTTTATTTTCTTTACACTATGTTTAGTCCATACAATAAAAGTACAGAGCGAGCTCTTTTTTTTGTCAATGGATTATATAACTAAATGAAAAACCTACATAATAGCCTTTTTCTGAAAAATGTTTAACAAAGTCAGAAAAAAAGTAACATACCAGATAAATTTAAAAGCACAAACTTTTCAAAAAGCACAAGACCCACAACCTGAAAAAGTTGAATGAAGAGATTGGATGGTTTTGAGGCAATTAAGTTTTTTTTTTTTACTTATGGTTGCAAGTTCTTTTTTTTTTTATTTTTTTTTATTTTATTATCATCATAATCTTCTTTCTATTACACTAGATTACATATTAAGTTTTTATTAAAGTTACAAAATATGTTTTCAATTCCCCATTTTGGAGTTTGACATTAACCTGTGGTACTTTTTACTGTGCCTTTAAAAACTATGGAAATCAATAGGAAAAAAATGAAAATTATAAATACAGGAGTTAGCTATTAAGATGTTTTAAGTATTAGGATAAGAATTTGGAAAATAAGTAGAGAAAAAATTTTCTTTTGGTGGTTCCTTTTTTAAGTTTATTTCTTCCATGAATGAGTGGGACAGCCAGATATCATAGCCAGTGTGGTCCTCATGCTGCCATCCAGCCACGGCCAGTCCTACATCATGGATACGCACGTGACGTGTGTACTCATAAGGTCTTCCAGATGCCAACTCAGGACCCTCTCATGTGGGTCAGTCTTACAGAGCATGGGTTTTTTTACACAACACCATTGTTTCATCCCTATAAATATGCTTTTGCAAATAATGTTTTTGAATATTGGTGACCTCCAATTGACTTTTATATCAACTTGATGTGATATATCTGGATTGATAAAATGAACTTTGATCTTCTTTTACTTTCTATTTTCTGCAAAGCTCTAGAAACTCGTAGTCTATATGCTTATGGATACACACTTACCATCCACTTTCTCCCATAGTTTACCCTAAGGAAGGTATACACGTTGTCGTGTATTTTGAATTTTGAATTTTTTCTTTAAATTTTTTCTTCCAAAAAATCATACTAAATACTAATAAATAAGAAGATGGTGTCAAGATCAAGGTGAATTTGCAATGAGTCTCATCTCTTCACAGAGTTATTACCTCAGCAGCTGGTTTTCATATCTTGTATTTAATTATTACGCACTGATGTTAAGGAGTAGGTGAGATGAGTATATGCTGAGTCTGACCAGTCAGTATAGACAGGATAGAGTAGACACTGTCTAAATATCTCTTTAATGAACCATTAAGTGAAATGAAAGCTGGAGAAGGGAAGAAGACTCTTCCTTTAAATCACATTTTCCAGAATGTAGTGAAAGTAGAACTAGTAGTAAGTGGAATTATTTTAGGAGGCATGAGAACACGGCACTGACATGTGAGTTAAACTAAGTAAGATCTGAATTCTTTTTCAAGCCATTTAATTAAGTAAAGGAGAATGACTCAATTTTGTGCTATCTTTTAATCCCCCTTGTTAACAAAAAAGATTAAGACCTTCACAGACAATATTTAGCAAGGTTTTTATCATTATTTTTGTCATTTATTTTTAAAATGAACTAATATGACAAGTGTTACTAGTTTTCTACTTAAATATGTAAAATTACATTTATAATATTCAAATAAAAGGCCATTTGGAGCCAATCTGGGTCCCCAGTTTTTTTTTTTATCTTTGTAAGAGACAGTTTTAGAGTAAATAGAACTAGAGAATTAATATCCTCTACTACACAATCTTCCCAGTCTTTGACAATATAATATCAGGAAGTAGCTTCCTTTCTTGGTAGAATTGTTCTTAGAGGGGAAAAAGTAGTTTCCTAATTTTGACTATGCATGAAACACAAACATCAGAGGCTACTAGATTTAGGCAGTGACTTCAGTATTCTGTGAGATAACTCCGTTGCTTTATTCCTAAATTAATGTCTATCTGAAATATGCTGTATTTCCTAAGGATTAGAAAACATAAAATTTTAAAAATCACTTCCTTCTTTCTTCACTAGGTATTATATACCATTCTTGCCATAATCATTGTGTAAAAAAATGTTATAATGAGCTAAAATGAAGAAATCCAACTAATATATTTCTGTGATGAAAGCAAAAGTGAAGAATGTCAGATAGCTCTATTTCTTTACTAGTAAATACTCTTTAAAGCAATATGTTTTAGAACTTTTATTTTGCCATAATTCAGAAACAACTTTTGCTAATAATATGGTGTGTTTTTGTTTGTTCTTTTAATTATTGCTAGATGAAATTAAAAAAAAATAATAACAAACAAAAAACACTAGACTAGCACAAATGTTTTCCATCAAAAAGAAGGCAGATGGGGCCAGCAGGTGGCATGGTGGTTAAGGTCCTAGACTCGCACATGGCCAACCACGGTTCAAGTTCCAGACCTGGCGGCTTGCTTTCTCACTTAACCTCTCTCTCTCTGGTAAAAAATTTTAAATAATAACAAATGAAATTAAATAAATAATTCTAAAAAAAAAAAAAAAAGAAGGAGAAGAAGAAGAAGGCAGGTTCCTTGGCATTACTCAAGGGAAGATGGATCACACATGGCAACCACTCTTCAAATCCCCACAAGACATTTACTATTAATATTGGGGGAATATAATTAAAAGCAAAATCTTCCCTAACCTAGAAGAAATTCTATCCACAAAAGTAGTAGAGAAAGAAAACAGTTTAATTTTATTATTATTAATAATATTTTTGCTAGAGAGCATGTGTGCATGCCAGAGAAAGACAGAGGAAGAAAGCACCCTGCAATAGGGCATGGTCACACCACAATTCCTTCTCTATTTACCCATCTTCTCGAGATTTAGGCCATCCACATACATGTGCCTGGTGTGTTTTTCAAGCCACCAGGGCCAGGATTGGGACTATAGCTGACCATATGGAACCTGGCTCCTTTAACAGTAGGCTATGGGACCAGCCCCAGTTTAATTTTCAAATGAGTGTTAAATCAGAATATGGTGCCTATCACAGCATATCCACTTAAAGATTACAAAGAAACAAAGAAATTTTACTTTTTCTAATACCCAAGCAAAGAAAACCCATTAATTACATGTTTTAAAGACAACAATTAGTCCTCAGGAACGAGAATTTGACAGCAAACACCATTTATCACACACAGTTCATCATAATATTACCAGGTAATTGAAGTGAACATCTCTGTTAGCTAATTGCCTTTGCCCAAAGGAAAAAATAATTTTTTTATATCTTTATGACAGAAGTAGGTTTCAGACGTGGAGCCAGGCCACCAGTTGAAGTTAGTGACCTGAATTCCCACAGAGACAGAGAAGACATTTTCCTTGATAATTACATTTCAAAGAGAGAGCTCCCAGGTTTGGGGGAAGATAGTTCTGAA